GAATTAATTATCAACCCCTTCATGAACTTAATTTAAGATTTTAAAACTGATTGCTCACCTTCTTCCTGCTTTACAGAATATGGAAAATATGTCACACAAATTCCATACTAATTATATACTTACTTTTTGCACCCGTCTTCATTAGAGGGCTTTGACAGAACCACAGTGTAGGAGCATTAGCTGTCGAGGAGCTTTGTGTGTATTCTGKGCCCACTCATTTTCACCTATCTCAGTCCCCACCCTCAGCCTCCACATGAGCACATGTATGGGTGGACACACAGATGCACACACACACTCACACTCACGAAGTTGTGGCAATTGACAGTTCCTGTCTAGATTTTCATCACTCCTGCTATCATGAGACCAGTCTCTATCCTCTCTTTATTCCACACATCTAAAATTGCATCTTATACCAGATTACCCATTGATTCTGTTAGTTCAAGGAAAAAATATAGTGGTGTAGAGCAGAAAAGAAAATTCTAGTCTGTTGGAGAGCTCATGTGGTCTTGGTCAGGGAGGCAGGCTTCCCTGAAATTTCTGTAATAGCAACCTTTGTTTTATATTGCTACCAGTGCCCAGGGAACAATGGAGAAAACAACAACTCAGTCCTTGGTGACTCAGTTTGAGAGGTTATTCACAAATTGGTGGCAGTCTAATCAACAGTATAAAAATTTATGTAGCAATAGGGACAGTGTCCTCAGAGACCTGGAGAGTTTAGTATGTTTGAATTCTGTTTTGGTTATTTGTTGAATCTCTGTATTTCCCCAGGATTAGATCCTGCCTGGTACTTCATATGTATTATATGCTGTGTGTTTGTGACCTAAATCCCGTGTGAAATAAAAATCCTCTACTGAAAGAAAATTTAAGAAGTCCTATTTTACAGATAGGAAAACTGAGGATCAGAGGACTGCCATTCAGTGTGCTTCCAGGGGTGGTGCAGATTTTGAACAAATATTTATCTTAGACTCCAATATCTGCTTCTGTGGAACACAGCATGAGTTCCTTCCCCCAATAATTAGGAGGCTCACTGGCATTTCAGATGTGATGTTCTCCTAGTCTGCCTGGCCCACATTGTCATCACATCCCTTCCTACTTGTTTCATTTCAGATAAGCGGTGGAGCTACCTTTGATATTTAAAGGAACAGAGAGTTTTGCATCCTAAGCACTGAATAAAAAGTTCTTGGTCTCAGGATATGTTCTATATTTTGTTTTATTGTGACTTGTCACTACCTAATGGAGTGAATAAGGCTTTTTCTTTGAGTGTTTCTGGACTCCAACTCCTGCTATTCCTGTTGATCCTGGTGTCACATGATGGACCTGATTCCAGAGGTGTGCTCTGCAGCAGTTGTCTTGGCTGTCCCTCTGCTCACTGCACCACCTGCTGTCCACTCAGCACTGCTCTACTGAGTTTTCTCACACATCACTCCTGTCTGTCTGTCTGTCATCCCTGACAAAGGGGATAGGTTGGATATAAAGGAGATGCCTCTTTATTGGATAAAGTTTTTTAAAAAATTTGTTCTTTTTAGATATCCATGACAGTAGAAAGTATTTTGACATATTGTACATACGTGGAGTATGACTTCCTGTTCTTGTAGTTGTACATGATGTGGAGTTACACTGGTCGTGTATTCGTATATGAACAGAGGAAAGTTATGCCCAATTCATTCTACTGTCTTTTAAGTGAAATTTTGAGGAATAGCTGATGAGCTGTAGCTAACACTGGTCATTTCCCTCCTTGTTCTGCTTCTTTTTATCCATAGTTACTGAATGCTCATTTTATTGAGGGTGACAAAGTGCCCAGATAAAATACTACCCACCTCCCTGAGAGCTGATTTAGCTGCATGGCTAAGATTATGGCTGATGATAGTCTTTACATATTTTAATTGATATTATTGCTATAGAACCATAAATTTCCCTTTGAATACTGCTTTAGTTGTATTTCAATTATTCACATATTTTTATAATTGTCTTTTAGGTATGTTTCTCAATAATTTTTATGAGTGATTTCTATCTTAATTCTCTTTGACAACATAACATGTTTTGTATAATTTGAATTCTTTAAAATTCATCTAGATCTGTCAGGGAGCTCTGAATACTTTCTATCTTAGTAAATATTTTCTATGAACTTCGGAACATTTATGCTGTTCTTTGGGTGGAGTGTTCTGTAAATACACTCAGTATTTACTTATGGAGGGTTTTGCTTAAGTCTTGTACATATTTACTGAATTTCTGAACATTGGTTCAATTCCTTATTGACACAAATGTTTCAATGTTTCTAACTGTAATAGTGTATTTGTCTTTTTTCCTTGTAGTTTTATCAATTTATGCTTCCTATATTTTGAAGTATCATTCTATGCAGAAACACTTAGAGCAGTTATGGTTTCTTAAGGAAAAGAGCTTTTTATTACTCAAAAACTTGTTATTGCTATTAAAATTATTTCTTCTAATTTACTTTGTTCATTGTGAATGTGGTCACTCTAATTTAAAAAACTGTAATATGCAATGCATTATTATTTTTTATAGGCTATCATCCAACTCTTTGGATAGTGCTATTTTATATTATTCCTTCTTAAGAACTGTTCTTCAATTTCTGTTTTATATTAAAATTTACTTTCTTCTAGGCAGCAGAGTTGTCCTTGCCTATTCCTTATTTTTTATTCCTCCCTCCTCACAGTTTCTCTTTGTCTCTCCAGCGAAAAAAGTGAAAATCCACTATCTTAACAGATTTAAAATGTATGCCAAGGCATTATTAACTATAGTCATATTGTTCTATATTAGATCTCTAGACTTACTTTTCTTGCTTAGCCAACCTTGACCCCACTGACCAAACATCTCCCTGCTTCTTGCACCCACTATCGCTATTTTATTCTTTGCTTCTATTCTATTTTTCTTCTTATCTATTTTACATTCCTCATACAAGTGATTAAACTATGATCTTTTTTAGTGTCTGACTTATTTAATTTATCATAGTGTCCTCTAGGTTCAAACATATTGTCAAAATGGCAAGATTTCCTTCCTTTCTAGGGGGATATTTCTTTTCCTCTTTCCACATTTTTATTTCTTTGGTGCATTAGAGTTGTACATAATAATGGGAATTTTGAAATAAAAATTTGAGATCTAAGCTATAAAAATGGTTCAGCCTATTTTCCTGTAATTTCCTAGGCCCTTTCTCTGGAGATAATGAGGATTTCCATACTTTGCTTATTAATTATTGTACAAATAGAGAGCTATTTCCTCAATAAATTGTTGTATTAGTTAAAGAAGAAATGGAGGTTGGTGCAGTGGCACATGCCTCTAATCCCAGTGATCCAGGAGGCTGAGGCAGAAGGATAGCAAATTCAAAGCCAGCCTTAGCAATTTAGCAAGGTCCTAAGCAACTTAGTGGAATCCTCTCTCAAAATTAAAAAAAATAATAATAAAATAAAATAAAAARGTTTGTGATGTAGTTCAGTAGTTAAGCACCCTTGGGTCCTATCCCTGGTACTAAGAGGTGGCAGGGTAGGGGGTTGGGAGAGAAGAAATGGAGAATGCCTTCTCTTCAGCTTTTCAGACTTTTTTGGGAAAGCATAATTTGCATAAAGCATAGCTGCTGAGTCATCTGTCTGAGCTTTAAAGGCAGTACCACTAATTCTTCCCTAGTCTCAGTTCCTTCATTAAAAAAATTAAGATGATTTTTCTATCTACCTGCATTTCTATGACCCATTTATGGTTCCTAATTGGACAGGTGCATAATAAATACACTAACTACATTGGCTGTTACGATTAGGATATTTTCAACTCTTTTGGATATTTTGAGGAGTATTAGGAAACAAAGTAAAGGGTTTGTTAGTACTGAAAATGCAGGAGGCCTTGAAACATGCTGGATGGATTACTCGTCACCAGAGTTCTAATGGCAATTGAATCCTGGAAATTCTTGCTAGAGAAGATGAAAGTTGCAAGTAATTTTATTGTTCATCTCAGGAACTTCCTGAAAGTAAACCTCTATTGTGACTTATTTCAGTTAGCATGATGTACTAGGTTTACCCATGTCGTCACCAGTGACAAAATTTCTTGCTTTTTTGTGGATCTGTAGCTTTGAGGTGTTCTTAACTCTTCCAATACACTCAAATCACCAGACACACCAAGGCTCATAGTACGTCAGAGTTTACCYGTGAACACTTAGAAAACTGAAAAATAGTAGTGACAAAGTAATGTTGAATTGTAAAAAGTGCCACTTTGTGCCAGTGGGGAACTTGGAGGCCTGTTAAATTAGGGTTTTCAGTAAAGGGGGGATAGTCATGGAACTGTGGGGGAAGTCTTGGTAAAAGAGCACAAGTTATCAGAAAATTCTATCAAGAGAATGTCAGAGAAAAATTCTTCATAAAAAGACAGAAGAGGTGATAATGGTACTATTTGTGCTATGGGTCATGGGAGAGCTCTTCCTCTGCTAGAAGCAACTGTCTGTGAAAGCTGGCCATCCCTTCTCCCTACTGCTTGTCCTGTCTCCTTGACTACAATTCATCTTGCTTTAGGAAGCCATGTGGCCATAATACTTATCATCCTTTGTTATAATTATTCCCAGTTAATTGAATTTTCAGGGCTGTTTTAAATAAGGTTGTTCTGTTATTGAGCTAATTTTCATTGCAAATTTTATTTCATTAATATAATCATGCTAATAGAAAATATTAGACACTTTGTTGTGCTTTTAGTATATATATTTTTAAATTGATTAGTTTTATTTTAATAATGAAAATTTAATAGCAATATGATATATTACATTGGCTGAACCTTTCATGTAGTTTTTGGGTTGATTTTAAAAATTTCTTAGTAAATCAAGTTTTTTTTTAATTGCTGTCTTCATTGTTTACTTAAGATTCAATTTAGATTTGTGGGTTCAATATTTGCTTTAGGTTTTTGGGTGCTTTCTGCACTACACAAACAATTATTTTAGGAGCTTAATGGTAAATGCTTTAGGAAGCTAATCTGTTATGAAAACCTGAATGATCAACTTTGGCATTTCTTTACTTTTTGGAAGATAAGGCAATTCTTTTGACTGAGTCATTGAAAGCTTGTTTTACTTGCTTATTCCTTAAGGTGTAGATGAAGGGGTTTAGCATAGGAGCAATGGAAGTCGTGAGGACTATCACCCCCTTATTAATAGCCACGGAGTCCTTTGCTGAAGGCTTGACATAGATGAAGATGCAGCTGCCATAGGTGATAGAGACCACAATCATGTGGGAAGAACAGGTAGAAAAGGCTTTTTTCCTTTGCTGGGCAGAAGGGAATCTTATGATGGTCTTGATTATACATATATAGGAGAGAACTACACAAAGAAGGGTGGTGATAAAGGTCAACACAGCACAGCCTATAACCATCTGCTCAATGACCCACGTGTCTGAGCATGAAATTTTCAGGAAGGGAGACACATCACAAAGAAAGCTATCAATAACATTAGAATCACAGAATTCCAGATTTTGGCTAAGGCTAAATGGTGGGAGTATGATCAATAGGCCAGCTATCCAACAGCAGAGGATGAGTCTTCTGCAGGCTCTGTTGCTCATGATGGTGGTGTAATGGAGGGGTTTGCAGATGGCCACGTATCGGTCATAAGACATGGTGGCCAGGAGAAAAAACTCAGTTACTCCAAAGAGATCGGTAAAAAATGCTTGAATGGCACAAGCGCAGTAGGTAATAGTCTTGTCACCTGTTGATAGGTTGTACAAGTATCTAGGAATACAAGCTGATGTGAAAAAGATTTCTAAGAAGGAAAAATTTTGTAGGAAAAAGTACATTGGTGTTTTAAGATGAGGATTCATTAGTGTGAGTGAGATAATTGCCATGTTCCCAGATATACTCAGTAAGTAGGTAAAAAACAAAAAAATGAAAAGTAGACTCTGAATTTGTGGATCATCTGTTAGTCCCAGGAGAATGAAGGTTGTTGTCGTGTGATTTCTCATAACTGATTCCAGCTCTTGGTCTAGTCTTCGTGAGAAAAATCAGGTATTTTGTTAGAATATAGGGATGCTAAAGTTCATAGTGATAAACGTTAAGAAGTGAACTCAAATAACTGGTTCACATGAATTTTATTCTTTAACTTGGTAATTAATATTGTAAATAATCTCATGGGCTTTGTAAGTTTTCATCTTTGAAAGAGCTTAACTGTGCCACAGTGCAATAATTTATAGATTCTACCTCTTCATTGCATTTTCCAAAATTTCTTTAAAATTTTTTGTCCATATTCTGAGTTGTTTTTTTTATTGATGATGCCTTCAGTATTAAGATTTTCTTTTATTCCCAATGCATTATTCTTTATTTTGAAGTTGAAATCTTAAAGTTCGCTAATAACTTCACATCTGGTTTGTAGATTGATCCTTGATAAAACAATTACATAGCAAATAATTTAGACTTGCTATTGAGTCTTACCAAAATCCCACAATCAATTATAATTTTATGTCCATCCTCTGTAACAAAATAATGTTTTGTCATTTTATATATAAAATGCATATTTAAAAAATTAAAAAACTATGCTCATGGCTCTTATACAGTTCAGGTTTTTAAAAGTTATTTGTATGTTTTGCATTAAAGGAAAATGTTTGCTACTGAATTAAGTCATACCACAGAATTGCCACATTTTTTGTTGACACCCATTACCAAAGTGACAAGTTGCTTCTATTCTTGTATCATCTGTGATGTAAATGAGTAGTTGAAATTCACTTTGCTTCCTTGAGATAGCTGTCATCAAGATAATGAAATCACAGGTCAACTTTGCAGTACTGAGTTTGACTCAATAGCTCCTTTATCATTTTCCCCCTTCTATTATCACAAATTAATTACAATATCCATCAATTAAATGTTTCCAGTCATGTCTTTAGGTTTTGATATTTTCCTACATCAGTGAATGAAAGTAGATTTCCTTGGTGGACTCCAATGATATAGTTTCAAGAATGGATTCAATGAATTGATTAAAATATTCAAAGCATTGATTCAAATATTCTCTTCTTACTAGGATGGGTACAGAGTCAACTTGGATCATGTGTCAAGTTTTCATGTTTATGTCACTTTCTCAGAGAAGTATAATTATCAAGGATCTTGATTTTCTTGAGAGCTGGAACTCTGAAAGACAATAGATTTGCATAAGAGACAATTTCAGTGGATCATATTAAAATGTAACACTAACCATCTCAGTAATCCATCTACCTTCTTTGAACACATTTTCTTCAGCTCACAGCTACCAAATGCTTATGGYGTTAAACTCAGCCCTGCACACTTTGTAACACATTAGAGAATCTCATAATATAATTATTTTATAAAACTGTAAATACCATGAATCTATGAGAAGAACATCTTTCCTACATTGTCAGTGTCAAGTTTTGGCAAAACAATTGACTGTAAAGTGTGACTAACAAATCATTTTTATTTTCCATTTACAATTTATGCAAATATATCTAATAAGATGATATCATCTAAGGTCCTCTTTAGTTTGTGGATGTAACACATGATGCTATGAAATGACAAGTTATGTGACATTTTGATGACTCTCTAAACAACTGCTATTAATGACCATAATATATCCAGTGATAGTGCTCTCATGCTTTTTAAAATTAGTCATAGATTTTGTTCACTCTGCWACCTAAAAACTGTTAACAACAGAAAACTGAAAATGAAGGTGTTAAGACTTTTGTGTCACCTTGGGCTAACTCTTGCTAAACATGTTCACAGGGAGCCTGGGAATTCATGAAGTTTTCTATTACCAATATACTACAAAGTGTTCCCTCAATGAATGTTCTATTGTCATACATCTAGGCAATATATTTTCTTAATTATTCTCTAATGTTTCTATTATTGGAATGAAAAAAAAATTTCCAAAGTGAATAATGTTAGTGACAATTTGGTAGAAAAATCTAATGTCTGAAACTCTGGGCTGAGAGATATTTGTAATTTATAATTATTATATTATAATATGATATTTGTAATCTATAATTAAGTTAAAGACCACAGAATCTTTTATAACACTGGTTGAAAAGTTAGGAATGGATCTTCTGTGTATTGGAAATTTAAAAAGAATCTAACAGTCAATAGTCATGATGTATCCTCAGAGGAAGTCATCAGTGTCATCTGCCACTGACTGCAAGAACAAAATTTTAAAGTAGCAATCTAATTATTTTCACTTGTTTTTATAACATTTCCATTTCCAATTGGAAAGTATAAGACCTTAAATTTCTTTTACGTGTTTCTATCATATGGGTAATTTATGAAGTTGAAAAATTTGTCTGAGAAGTGAAGATGGAAAAGAATATAAAATTAGTAGTTAATATTTCATAACATACAGTTTTATATTTTYTGAAGATATACCTAAATATATTATAAATAGTACTCATAGAAATGCAAACATTAAAAACAAAACTAATGCAGTTTAAAGTGTAATTTTTCATATGCTATTTACTTTAAAACACTTCATGAATTTATTGTAAAATGTGTTTGATACCTGCTCAGCTTAGCCATAATACCCAAACCAAGAAATACTATGTCTTACACAGATAGCTCATCTTCCACTCATGATTGCCATTCATACTTCTTCAGTCTTTCCGTGACATACTAATTTTTAAGGATGTTATATTCTCAGTTTGCATCAATAGCTCTTCCACAATTTTTAACAGCAGTCAACTCATTACATTGTAATCTCAAGCACTTTTAATCCTGAATTAGTATGTTTAGGGTTTGAGGTTGGTTTATATCAATGAATGAAAAGAATATTCCTGGGAGACTCCAATTAGACTGTAATGTGAATAGTTTTCTGTGTTTAAATTATTTCTTTCCTTTAGAATAAGGAGAGGTTAGTTACCAGATGTGTCCAGTCTCCAGGAAAATCTGCAGAATATATAGTTACAAAAATAGGAAAAAAAGACAGTTCCTGGAATTTCTGGGAGTCCCATGACATTTCCAGGGATTATAGGGAAAAATAGGTCAAATTGATATGGACTGAAGGATCATACATTTACACTGTCTGTATAGCTCACCTATTCCTCTGCCAAGCCTTTTACTTCAGCTCTCTGGCATTTAGTTCAATATGTAAAAAACATACACCTGCAGTTCTGCCACCCTGCGTAGAATCCCTTGTTTTAAAATGTCTGCTTTCCAATCCTTAATGGTCTTTCTTGTACAGAATATCAAGAGCCAGAGTTTGAGAGAATTACTGAAACTGAATTCTGACATTTCTATTTTCTTTATGTATGTGAAAGGTTAAAACAAATTAAGGCTGCAGATGCCATATAGTATATCAGCTTTTAGTTAGTGCATCATATTTAGAAGTGATTTTTCCATATAAACATACATTGCTTTCATTTGGAAGAGAAAGATGAGTTCTTGTTAGATAACAGTGAGGTAACAATCTAGATAATACTCATTATGTATCATCTTGGCTAAGCTGTGTTTTCAAAGGTTGCACTTTCTACAAAAAATATAACTTAGATATAAACTTAATTCTTTTACAATATTTCAAATAGTTATACACACCATATGATATAGATAAATGTATATAAAATCTATTTCTCTGATGAAATACTGATACAATCTCAAAAAAGAATAGAGGTACAATTATAGAAGTTGTACTTACTCTTCTGAAAGTCCACATTAGATTCCACTGGATGTATAACAGCAGCTTTTCTGCAGATGTTGAGGAGGAATGGATCTCGTTAGTGGAGGCTGTGTTTGAACTTCTGGCTGCTCTTGCTGTGGACAGCTGATCCTCCTATAGTGCTCTGGAATGCCTTTTGTCTCTGAGATTTTCAAATCTAACACATTGCCAATATTTTCTCATTACAGATTTCATCCATTTTAAAATGCTCTAGGTTTAAGAATCTATGATACTCAAAAGTTTTGGGAATATGAAGAGCTCTTCTGGTTTTGAAAGAGTTGGTAATTCTGATTCCTATGGATGGGGTGAGAAGTTTTTACAATTACAAGATTATCATTTGTTTTATTTGCCAAAGTTGAAGTGAGATGAATAAACAAAAGGGACCTTGGTGACCCAATTTCAAAAATCACTAATGAAACTTCACTATAATGAACTTGGCAGGAATCCTGAAAAATACAGTACTGAAGGCAGTGTCCTCTGAGAAACAGAGACAACAATCATGACCAACATATAACACCGAAAGCCAGATGGTTAGGTACATGTCTGTCCCTCTGATATCTGTTCCACCTCCCCTATGGTGGATGATGATTGGGACTTTGTTTTCTTAATTATTACATTTTTTTCCATAGAAGCTTTCCTTCCCTTACACACTGTGGATATCACTTTTTCCTTTAACCAGATTGTTTTTGGTTATCAATTTTTRAAATTTATTCCAATTTGTTATATATGACAGCAGAATTCATACTACATTTTTTATTTAAATAAGTAAAAAATTCAGATAGTCACAATAAGAAAATATATGAACAATCACAAACTTTTACAGTTTCTATAATTTCCAACTTTTCCCATCAAAAATAACTACATCTTACATTTGTATTCCCTATGATATAAATATTCCTTATATAATTTTTAAACTTGTTTCATCATGAAATATTAATATATACAAGTATTTTAAGACAATAATATTAGAAGGTATCATCATTTTTGATATTTTTATAATAAGATCCCTTCAGTTTTTCCATGCCATTCCCAATTCTTGAACATGCCTTGAAGCTGCTTATTATTATCAGATAGATGGGTGCATATAAATATATTGYATGGTTGAATAAACTGTTTTCCAGAAATTTAGTTTTCTTGCAAACCATCCTTTTATAACCACTTTTGCAAGCTTACAATGACTACATTTATACCACCAGAAATAAAGCACATCCACACTCCAAGGCTTCTGCATCAGATTATCAAAATTTTCTCTAAAAGGTCATACACATTTATACATCTAATTATACTTCATGACAGTACTCCTGTTTCAACACTGAGTTAAACACTGTATATTCTTCTTCTTTTTTATTTTCAAGTCAATAAACTCTTTTCAACTATGTTTTTTTTWAAWTTWAWTTTTTTTAAAATTAGTTACACATGACGGTATACAATGACCTTGACATATCATACATTTGAATCAGGTGTGATATGATATCTCATTTTTTCTGAGTATACAGGTTGCAGATCACATTGGTCATGCATTCACATATATACACTATGTYTAAATATTTTTTCTCTAATTGTTACTGGTCTTTAAATTTGCGTATATTACTTAAAAAATTATGATTTCTCCTATTAGTCCTTGGGAATTGTTCTCATAGTTTTAACTTATTTGATATTTATACTTATTTTTAAAAATATTCTATTGTATATTTCAAATTGCTATCTACAAACTCACTAATAAGTTTGATTCTACTATTAGTGCTATTGAAAATACATTTCAAACTATATCAAATATTGTATTTGATATAGTCATTGAGAAAAAATATTTTTCTACTTTAATATCTTTCTTTTATTAATTATTTATTTTATTTCCTTTTAATAATTTATTTTACCTTTATTATTTATTTCACTTTATAATACTTTTGTTATTAATAAAATATGGTGAATTATTAATAAAATGTGGTGAATTATATATTTCATTTTAAATGTACAACCAGTATTATATTCTGTTGACAAATTCAAATGTGTTATATTAACCTTTTATATGTTCTGGATTCAATTAGTTAATTTTCTAATATTTTATTTAGGATGTAGTATTTATGATCACAAGAGATTGGTCATTAATTTCCTTTAACTGTCCCAACTAGGTTTTTGTATCAAAAGTACTGTGAGATTTTAAACTGAGTGGTTTTATTTGTTTCTCTTATTTTTTGAGGATTTAATGTAAGATAGATGCTACTTAGAGTAATCTATTTGGAGTGCCATTTGATCTTGGAGCTTATATTGTGGAAAAGTTTTTAAATATAGCTGCATTTGCTTTTCATAAATTTGGATATAACAAAATTTGAATTAATATTGTATTGTATGAGTTGTAATTTTCTAAGAGATGCCAGTCAAATATATGTCTAAATTCATTTGCATGAAGTTTTAGACTATCATCTCATTTCTTCTTAATGATCCTAAGATCTGTAGGATATTTGGAACTTTGTTAAAAATAAGAAGACAATCTATGTGTTTATATTTGAAATTTCTTTTGTGTTCCATTGACTATTCTTTAATCTTGATGCAAATACTGGCTTGATTATAGTAGTTTTATAAATTTTAAAGTCAGGTAGTTTTTGTCCCAATATTGTCCTTTCTCAAAGCTGTTTTGACTCTCTACATCCTTTGCAACTACATGTACATTTTAGAATCATCTTGTTGACTTTTACAGAAAAACTTGCTGAGATTTTGGTAGAGATTATATTGAAACTATAGAAAAATGCAGGTAAAATTGATATCTTAACAATATTGAGTGAATCTATGAGTATAGTTTATTTCTTCATTTATTTAGGTTTTCTTTAATTTTCATCAGTCATGTTTTGTAGCTTTCTGTGTATACATCTTACCTGACTTTGGGTAGATTTAGCCCTAAGTGTTTTATATTTTTGCAGCAATTTTGGTTCTATTGTTTAATAATTTTAATTTTTAGTTATTTATTGCTAATGTTTAGAAATAAAATTCATTTTTACACATTGATCTTGTATTTCACACTTGAAAAGTTTACTTTTGGTTCTAGTAGTTTTTGTTATTTATTTATTTATATTTTATTTTATTTTTTTTGTATTGGGGATTGAACCCAGGGATGCTTTCCACTGAGCTATGTCCCTTGCCTCCGCACCCCCCCCCTTTTTTTTTTGAGACAGGGTCTTGCTAAATGCTTTGGGCTTGCCATTGGGTCTGGCTTATCTTTAGTAGTTTTTAAATAGATTCCAGATAATTTTCTACATACATATTCTTGTGGTCTTCAAATAAAGTTGGACTCCTTTCTTCCTTTCTATTCTGGATGTCTTATTATAATTATCAGAATAATTATTATTAGATTTTGCTTTATTTTATGGTTAAAATCTCCAGTATAGTTAAAGAAATGTGGTAAGAGAGGATGTCATTATATTGTGTACTGTATTTTAGAATGAAAGCCATCCATTTTCTCACATTTTACTATTAACAAAGTCAGTATATAAATTCTTTTCTCAATTTTGGTTATGCTTTCTTATTTTTTCAGGTTCTTCAAAAATAATTACACTTCATATAATTTCTTTACATATTTATTAAATTTGCTAGCTTTGAATATGTTCAGAAAAACATAATATTTGTGTCAGTGTTGTTGCTGGATCATGTTGCTGGATGATAGCACCAATGACATAAATACCCATCATTGATTCATCAGATTTATTCTTTAATGAAGAATATGTGAATTCAAAAAGTAGAGATAGAGGTACAGATTTAGACTTAGCAAAATTTGTATTTGGAAAAGTTTCAAGATCTTTTGTTCTTTTTTCTCTAATTAGATGGATCTATGAGCTATACCATTTATATCTGAGTCAACAAGATGTTGTTTTAGTGGATGATGTTAGATTTCTCATTCCAAGGATTCTAAATATTTTTTAAAAATCTTAAAAGTTGTTAGATAACCTCATTGGATATTTTCCTGAAAATAGTCTAGGGTGCAGAGTGTTGCACAGACTATAGTGTTCAAGATTTTGGAATTAATGCATATTTGCTTTAAAAGAAAACACTACATTAGAAGTAGAGGTCAAAGATTAAACTCCTTAGACTCTGGGAAATAGTGGAGATTATGGAATTTCAATTGTGGTATTTTTACCATGTGAAGTAGTAGAATAAAAGGAGATTCCATGAATGACTGGAAAAGAGGTTTGTTAAAATGTTCAATGTTATTTATTAATCTAAAACTTCTATATGAATTATTTGGGGTCAGGGATGMAAATAAAGACAAGAAATACAAAGCAGCTGTCAGTTCTTTGGGGTATAAGAGAGTGTACCAGTAAAAAAGTGATAGAATATCTATGTATGAAAAAAAAWTTTTAAAGACTGCTTATACATTATATCCATCATTAATCATTAAAAGAAGCTAAAAAGAGATGATGTAGTAGCTCAGATCTAGCAAAATGGAGAGTAATTAATATTTTCTGTGTTTGAAGAGAAATATTAGAGGGAATGGTTACTGGAATCTGGAAAAAGTGACTCTTAGCTGTAGGTGAGCTGCTCACAGGATTTTGTTTTTTGGGTGTGGCCAATTGCTGGCAATCCCGTTAGGAACAAAGGGGCAAAATAGATATCCAATTTCACTTTTCTTCTAAACTCTGATCTTTTAGTAGGTCTTTCCATTGGCTAACCACACCTTGAATTTATGAAATTCATGGAAGTGAACCTCATAAAAATATTCAAAAAATTTTGGAAGGTCAGGTTCTGGAGTGTCAGGTCATTTGTTTTGGTGCTATTTCATGTTTGGTCAAACCTACTCATTAAAACTTACTGGGAAAATTATAATAAGGCATAGTTCCACCCAACCAACCAGACCCTAAAACATCAAATATGTGTCATTGCTTGAGATAGTGGTGGTGAGTCTTTACTTTCTTTGCTTGAGGTAGTAGTGGTGAGTCTTTACTTTCTTTCTGTTTTCTTCCTTCTTCCTTCCTGTATTTTTGAGATCCAAAATACAACTTTCCTATAACATAAACTACATTATAGTGAGGAAGTGTCAATTTGTTCTAAACACATTCCCCATTAGGTAAGTACTTATTTTTTGAATTGTTTTGTGTTACATTTGGTTYTCTTAGTTAAACATTTATAGTAATTTGTAGTTTTGGTTAACCTGGATAGAAGATAAAATTATTATTGTATTTCTTGTGAACATTTAGAGATATATTCCAGTAAAGMATATTAGTCTAACAAAGGTTCATTTACATGAAGAGAAAAGAATAAACTGAAAATTGAGCTTTAGGATATTTTGAGAAAATTATCCTGAATTAGAACACAGATGAGGAAGGCATAAAATGGTTTTGTAACTTCAGGAATTTGTTAGGAAATCTCTGGTTCCTTGAAAACTTGATTTTTAGATGTCAGCATTCTCCTTTAAATATTTAAATTGATTCACAAAATTGATTTTTAAATATGACAATAAATTTGACAACATATTTGTGATGTCTCTGTATTCTCTTACTTCTTTGAAGTTAACTTAATTCTTTTGAAGGAATCACTAAAAGCTTGTCTCACCTGTTTGTTTCTCAGAGTGTAAATGAATGGGTTCAACATGGGAGCAATGGATGTCATTAGCACTGTCACACCCTTATTGATAGCCACAGATTCCTTGGCTGAAGGTTTGACATAGATGAAGATACAGCTTCCATAGGTGATGGACACCACAATCATATGAGAAGAGCAAGTGGAAAAGGCCCTTTTTCTTTGCTGGGCAGAGGGGAATCTTAGGATGGTCTTGATGATGTATATGTAGGACAGAACAACGCACAGAAGAGTTGTGATGAAAGATAATACAGCACAGGTTATCACCATCTGTTCTAAAAGCCATGTGTCCGAGCATGAAATCTTCAAGATAGGATATGAATCACAGAAAAAATAATCAATTATATTTGAGTCACAGAATTCTAGATTTAGTATCATGATAAGTGGTGGGAGTATGATCAACACCGCAATGATCCAGCAGCAGAAGACGAGCTTTCCACAGACTCTGCTGTTCATGATGACTACGTAATGCAGGGGTTTGCAGATGGCCACATAACGATCATAGGACATAATGGCCAGAAGAAAAAATTCAGTTACTCCAAATACATCAATAAAAAACACTTGAATGACACAAACATTATAAGTAATGGACTTGTCACCTGTTGCTATGTTATATAAGTATCTAGGAATACAAGCAGATGTAAACAAGATTTCTAATAAAGCAAAATTCTGTAGGAAAAGGTACATAGGTGTTTTAAGATGGGGATCCAATAAAATGAGGGATATGATGGTCAGATTCCCAGTTATACTCAACATGTAAGTGAGAAATAGAAACACAAAAATTAGACCTTGAACTTGAGGATCATCAGTCAGCCCTAGCAAAATGAAGGTGGTTATTGTCTTGTTTGCCATCATTGAATCCAAGTTTCTTTCATATTTTCAGGAAAAATTCAGAGACATTTCAAGGGAATACAATGTTATCAAAGGTGAATAGTGCAATTTTCCTTTCTTATTAGGATATAGAGAGTCACCAGAGGCTGTTACTGTCACTTCAGCAACCCAAACGATAAGGTTAGCTACAAAATAATTGTTTTAATGAATCATATCAGAGTTCTGAAGACTCAAAGAAGCCTGAATGAAATAACTACGTAAGATAGTAAATCCTTCACAGGGGAGAAATGACTCTTAACTGCTCTTATTTGAGGCTGAGGAGATGAAGGTGAAGGAATTTACCATAAATAGGAGTAAAAATAAACTACCTAAATCTTTAATGAACTTTTAGCAGCTGCATTTGGATTTCTGTCACAGATTTTTGAAGATTCTCCACTTTTCCTCAGGTCCTTATAAGGTACTTGGTAAAGTATTTTAAAGCTCATGAGAAAGTACAGATATTGTTGCAAGTACCTGTAAGATATTCTCTTAATATATTCCAAGCAGAAGTATAAAGATGAGGCAGAGAAAGTGAGAAAAATATTCCTCCAAAACATTCCAGATATACTCAGAGGATAACAGTAACCAATATGCAATGTCTAGGGGCAGTCTAATAGGGTAAGAAAAAAATCTCCTAGGATCCAGAATACTGGAAGTATATTGAAAAGCAGGGAACTCAACAGCATGAAGAAGATAAAATGGTATCCTCATGATGCTGAAAGGAACAAGAACAACAAAAAGCATCAACTTAAAATTCTTTATTCAGCAACCATTTGTTAGAAGCAAGCATTTGCAAAATAAGAGTTTTTATGCATCAAACTGTAATAAAATATTTACAGAACAGCTGAATTTAAATGAAYGTTCAATCATAAAGAATGAAAATAATAATTGCTGCTGATAATGTGAGGAGAAAGGTCCATTGTTGGTGGGAATGTAAATTAGTACAATCACTTTGGAAAGCAGTATGAAGATGCCTCAAAAAACTAGAACCACCATATGACTTAGCTATTCCATTCTTTGGTATTTATTTGAAAGAAATAAACATACTATAGTGAATCATGCATACCAATATTTATAGCAGCACAATTCACAATTGCCAAATTATAGAATCAGTCTAGGTTTCCACCAATGGATGAATGAATACAAACCATTTCTTGGATGCCTGTAAGTAAGGATAGTACCCAACTCACAAATACTGCTTTTTCCTATACATACATATGTATGATAAAGTTTAATTCATAAAAAAGAAAAAAAGTAGGTGGAATTCCATGAAAACAGAAGAGAGGTCAGTGGAGTAGAAGAAGGAGATTGAGGAGGGAGAAGAGGGGACCAAAAAAAAGGGAGGAACTGTGAAATGAATCTGATCAAATTTTCCCATGCTTATACATGAATATACCACAGTAAATGCCACCTTTATGTATAGCCACAATGCACGAATTTAAATCTATAAATCTATAAATAAAAAGGGTTGTTTTATAACTTAGGCACAGTAGAACACCAATGACAGTAACTAATAACATGATAGAACAATTATAACAGTATATTTTCATAAAGTTGTTTAAAGCTTATTTATTTCTGGAATTGTCCATTTAATACTTTGAAACCGCAGCTGACTATAGGTAACTAAAACCATCTTAAAGCAAAACTGTGAAGCGGGTGGAGCAGGTGGAACACTCACATGTCCATAACACACATAGAAATTGTTCCAATGCRTCATGAAATGCTTAGTACTTAATGGAAGAGCAAGGTAATAATTATGTACCTCTTCCTGCCTTGTCTGCAAACTAAAGAGTCCATTCTTTCTACTTTTGCATCTCCAAGTGTGTGTCATTTACATAATGAAGGCAGAGATGAAGAATTTTTTTTTTCAGTTCTGAGTTTTGGTCAATAGCTGTTCTGTACACTCTTCCTTAGCTATCAGAAATTGGCCATGAATGCAGGTAATTAAAAGTTTTCAGTCTTGAATCAGACTAATGGTGGTTTGAGTATTTTATAGAAGTCATTTTAAGTATCTTTTTATTAGTGAGGTAGGTTTATGGCCATTCCAACCATGTGATAGTTTCCATAGTTAAACATTCAGGTCTTACCTTCACCATCATAGAAAGGAAGGGTCACTGAGTTGCTTGAGAAGGTATTCAAAATAATGATCTTAAGGAAACTAATTGAGATACAAGAGACTTTAATGAAGACATAGATATCATTAAAAAATCAAGCAGAAATCTTGGAACTGAATAAGGGAATGAAATTAAAAAATACAATAGAGTGCTTCAATATCAGACTAGATCAAGCAGAAGAAAGACTTTTTGAACTTGATAGGTTTTTGACATTATCCACAGAGATGTAAAATAGAAAGTGAAAAAGAGTAGACATACCTTATAAGACTAATAAGACTCATTAAACAAAGTCAACACTCACAGAAATTTTACATATTCATGGAAAGCCATGTGATTTACTTTTAATGTGAGATTTCTTTTTCACCATTGTGAAAAGAGTTTTTTTTTTTTTTTTTTTTTTAAAGGAGCAACACTTTTCTGGCGATATCTGGAACACCCAAGAGTGTTGATTCAGTAGGGTTCAATCACAATACATCACACTCAATTGTAGTGAAAAACCAGTTCTGCAGCCTGTTTACCATCCCTTGTTTCCTTTTTCCTCAACTGGCAGACTCCTATGCTTTACTGTAATTCCCCAGTCAAGCTTGCACACTTAGGGCAGTATTCAGCATTCTGAAAATATTTTCCTAATTACTAATATTATGCAGTCTTCTTTTTTTGATGGCATACTTACTGTCTTTATAAGTAATATTTAACACTCAACAATCAGTGAACAATCTAAAGTTCATTGCCCAGGCTCAATTTAATACTGTATAGTATTAAAGACAGYCTTACTAGGTATTACAAAAGAGAATACATAATTAATACTTCTTTGTTACTGATTTGTTTATCTTTTCTTTAAACAGTTTTTCAAGACATTTTAATGAGATAAGGTTATCCAATGTATTATTAATTTTGGTGGAGTTACTGATGTATATGTGTATGTGTTTTTAGCTTTAGATTGCAAAATCTCTACATGAAATCATATGAAATTTAGATACTGCTCTTGACATAAAAACTATCCCCTCAATGATTATAATCTATATGAAAGCATGCTATTTAAAAATGTGTCCCATAAATAACTTAGGTTACTTTATAACATATTCAATTTAGCACTCACATCTTTTATTTTTCTGAATTTCTTTAATTTTATTTAAAAATTCAAATATATTTTTAAGAGATACACGCAAATACAAAAATTGCATATATTAATGGGGTGACATGAAGGTTTTGAAATATTTATGTATGTAATGTTCAATCAGATTAATATATGTATCTTCTAAAACATTTATTTATTTTTACAAAGTTTTTATTATTATTAAAATTATTCATAATAGTGGGGTTCATTGTGACATATTTATAGGTGCATATAACATAGTTTACTCCATTTTACTCCCTAGTCCTTCCCCTTTCCCTCTCTTCTTCTATTTCCTAATCTCCGTCCTCTAATCTATTGATCTCTCTTGTATTTATTTATTTTTAATTGGTATATTATAATTATAAATAAAAGATTTATTGTGATATATTAACATATGCACATAGAAATTTTTTTTTGTGTGTGTGTGTGTTACTGGAAATTGAACCCAGGGCCTTGCACATGATAGGCAAGTGCTCTACCTCTAAGCTATGCCCCTTCACAGTTCTTATTTTGATAGAGGCAAATGCAATCTATTTTGGAGTAGAATTGTGATCAATTTTTTCACAGAGAAAATTGTTGAAGTAAGACATTTTCATGCTTATGTGTTGGACTATCATTCACAACAATGTTTGGTAATTTAACTATCAAAATTTTTAAGGCTATCATTCAAAATGAAGGTATTGTTCAGACTTGTGAGTTTCCTTACTCAGTCGTTCACTTAAGAAAGTCCCAGTCAGGCCTAGGAATGCATAAATACTTCAGAGTTTTTATTTAGTAATTGCAAAAATGTTCCCTTTATTGACTGCAACTAAATACCTGCAAACATTTTCTTATATTCTCCATAATTTTAAAAGAAAATATATTGTGAAGAGCTGAAGGCATTATAAACTCTTAATTGGTAAATGKTGATATTCTTGCCACATCAATTTAAACATTTGCTTTATTTGTTAGCTTTGATAATAAAATCTCACATAGGKTAGAAATATCTAATTCAAATGATTTTGGGTCATGTCTTTCTCAACTTTGCTTTAAATAATTGTTCTAAGTTATATACATATGTAATTAGTAAATACATGACATAATTTAACACATCACTTATCTTTAAAATATGCTGTGAAACTATTTATATCTCAATAATTGAAGATATCTGGCTCTTATATTTTGGGTTATGTAGATTGGTTATATTTTAAAATTCATCTCCATTATTAAGATTTTGTGGTCTCCGCCCACACTTATTCATTATTAATGTGAATATATTACCTCATTTTAAAACTATGATTAATTATAATTTTAGATTCTACGTTGCTTTTACTTTAAATATGCTTCTACTTTAAAACAATTTAATTTTTGATAGTATTCTTATGTATACATTTCATGCTTGCTATAATAGGTAGAATTTTGGGATAAGAATATGCTTATAATTTAGAAGTTTTGAATAATGTTACCAAAGTGACTTTCACAATTTTTAAAAATCAATATTATATAAAAGTTCACTGTATGTGTGTCTGGTTTTCTTACATGAAAATCACTCCTGTTTTGTATTATTAAAAGAGCATCAACACTTTATTTGGTGTAGAAATTGTTATTGGCTCTGAAATTATCCCTGAAAATTTTACTTATTCAACCTGTGCATAATACTTTCGATTAAAAATGGGCAAAACAAAAAATGTTTCTCCTTCTTCTTTTTGGCAGATAAATGTTTCCCTTAGAGAATTTTCTGCTGCCAATTATACTTTATCAATGCATTCTTTTGT